CAGCCTCAGGTTGCTGTAGTTCGAGCCCCACAACTCCAGCCAGCCAAGACTGCCCTGAAGGTATTCGGAGCAAAAAAAAAAAAAAAAGGAAAACAACTTTGAATCTCATAAAGTCTATGCAAGACAGCTAAGCAGTTACGCGGGGGAGAAAATCCTTCATTCTTCTCTGAGTGGACCATGTAAGTTTAATTGATGAGGTTACTGGGGTTACATGTGTGCATGCGAGTGATTAGGCAGGCGGAGTGTGGTCTCGTTTTGTGTGATAGTTAAGTATTGGAGACTTTGGAATCGGACTGCTTGCTTTGAATCCAGGCTCTGCTGCTTTCCAGCTATATTACTTTGGGCAAATAGTGTAACCTTTTTGTACCTCAGTTTCTCTGTAACACCTTCATAGGGTTAAATATAGGTAAAGTGCATATGATAGTGGCTGGCACAGAGTAGCCAGCCACTCAGTAAATGTTAGTTTTGTTATTTTATTTTTTTATGAATTTAGCACAGGGTGTAAAGGGTTTACAGGGTCTCACTACCTAGGTCGGACTCGTAGTGATTCTCCTCTTTTCAGCCACCCAAGTGCTGGGATTACAGGCGTGTGCCACCATGCTCAGTCTCAATCCCTGTCTCAGCACACACTGGGGTGGGGCAGCATGGCAGGCTGGGGATCGAACCCCAGCCGCTGTGCTCTGCCGCAGCAGATGCTTTAGTCCACTAAGCTCTCTGGCTGGCCCAGTTTTGTTATTGTTTATATAAAAAGATTATGTTGCATCCTACTCTGCCTACATTTTGAAGTGGAATTCTTTTTTTTTTTGTGGTGGGCTTAGCTTACCCTGGTGACGGGACTGGGGGGCACGTGGTGCAGGGGATCGAACTGCAGTCGCCTGCACTTGCCTAAGCAGGCACTTGCCTAAGTAGGCACTTTAGACCGCTGAGCTAGCTCACCGGCCCTGAAGGGGAATTCTTAAATCTGAATTTAGATTTGTTGTCCTGGCAGCTACATAGGATCCCTTTCCTTATAAAATGAGTACTTTATGATACCATTGTTACTAAAACTTAGAATCGTCTTTTACTCAGTGACTTTGTTTAAAATTATTTTTAAAAATATACTGTCATGTAGGTGATCAAATAACTTGCTTTGCCAGAGGTAGCAAATTTTTTTTATTATTTATTTATTTGTGGGGGGGTCAGCTCAGCCCACCAGGGGGCAGGGCTGGCTGGCATGTGGTGCTGGGGGATTGAACCGTGGTCCCCGTGCTTTGCTAAGCTTGTTCTAAGTAGGTGCTTTAGACCACTGAGCCATCTCACCAGCCCTATTTTTTATTTTATTTTTTTGAGGTAGCAATATTGATGCTACTTGATAGTACTTTTCTTAATGCCACCAAGGAACAGTTCACTTGAAAGCATTTTTTGTCCTTGTCCCATAATGTCAAATCTGTAAAACTGATGTCAATCCCAGGACCATTTCATCCTGGCTAGTGTGCTTGCTTTTGGGGGGCATGGGGTATTGGAGGTTGAACCTAGAGCCTGTGGCTAAGCATTCTATCACTGAGCTACACCCTTGGTCCAGTAGTTCTTTTTTCCCCGCTTAGTACTGAGGATCAAAGTCAGGACCTTGACTTGTCAGGCAGGTGCTTATGCCACTGAGCTATCTCCCCGGCCCCACTAATATCTCTTTCGATAGTCTACTTTGAATACTTTTGTCTTAACTTCTCTGAAGCAGCTGTATTAAGGTGTACAGTTACTTATAGCATGCTTATTTATTTATGTCTTTTTGAGATGGGTTCTTGCTATGCAGTTCAGGCTGGCCTTGAGCTCACTTTGTAGCCGAGGCTGGCTTTGAACTTGCAATGATCCTTCTACCTCAATTTCCCAAGCGCTGGGATTATAGGCATGCACCACCATGCCCTACTGGCATGCATATTTCAAGTGTAAAATTTTTTATCAGTTTTCACATGTTTATTTATACCTGTGAAACTGGTTCCAGAGTCCAGATCATGAGAATTTTTGTGACTCCTAAGTATTTCCTTGTGTTCCTTTATAACATGTCCCTATTCCTTCTTCCACCCAATCCCAGGCAATTCCTGATCCACTTTTTGTTACTATAGATGAATTTATGTTTCTTGGAATTTATATATATGGAGTCATATGGTATACACTATTTTGCTAGGTCTCTTCTGCTTAGTATAGTTTTGAGAGTCATCTGTTTTATTGTATGTGTTAATAGTTCTTTTTCATTGCTGACAAATATTCTATTAAGTGGATACAGTACAGTTTATTAAATCATCTGTCAATGGATTTTTAAACTTTCTATTTTTGAGTATTATAAATGAAACTTCTGTGAACATTTGTGTACAAGTCTCTGTATGGAAATTTAAAATTTTCACTAATGATTTTTTAGGTGTGGATGATTGATTCTTGTGGTAGATGAATGTTTAGCATCTTAAGAAACTGCCTTTTTCCAAAGTGATTGTACTTTTTTTTCTTGGAGAGTTTTTTTTTTTTTTTTTTTTTTTGAACTGGGGATTAAACTCAGGCCCTTGTGTTTGCCAGGGAAGCGCTTATTCTACTGAGCCATCTCTCCAGCCCCCTGATTGTACATTTTTTTTTTTTGATTGTACATTTTTATACTCCCAGTATGTGAGAGTTCCTGTTGCTTTCAGCTTCATTTTTAATATGCCATTAATGGGTTAATAAGTTTGAGATATTTTTATGGGACACTAATAAAATGTGTCGTGTTTACCCTAAAATTACGAATTAGTCAATTTTTTGTTAATGTAACAAAATACTTGAGTCTGGGTAACTTTAAAGGAAGAGGCAGCTTGAGGTATTGGTGTCACACACCTGTGATTACAGCACTATTGGAAGCTGAGGCAAGAGGAGCTCAAGGTTGAACCCAGCTGGGTTATCTTAGCAATTTATCAGGACTGTGTCAGAGTAAGTGGACAAGGGGCTGGGGCATGGCGTAGTATGAAACATGGAGTTCAATCTCCAATGCAGCAAAAAAAAAAAAAAAAAGAAAAATGATTTTGCTCCTAGTTGTAGAGGTGACACCAGGAACATGGCACTTGCATCAGCTTGGCTCTGCTGCGACCTTATGGCAGATGGCATCACAATGGCAGTGGCATGTGTGGAGGAGGAGGGAGTGTGTCACCAGAAGGAAGCCAGAGAAGCTGTCAAGGGACCACTTTTTCCTTTTGTAACAGCCTTCCCTTGAGAAGGGCTGGGGCCCTGAGCACTGTGCCTCTATTGCTCCGAAGAACTTCCCCTGGGCCACCTCTCAAAGCTCGCACTGCTTCTTAGCATAGCTGCGCTGAGGACCAAGCTTCCAGGGTATGGACCTTTGGGGGACAGAATCGCAGCTAGACCACAGCACGTGACTTCTAAAGCAAGACAGTCACCATGAATGTTGTTCACTCCCGTGTCCTTCAGTGCTAGGGCTTAAACTCAGGACCTACGCTCTACGATCGACCTACACCACTACCCCAGACACCCGTAGGCCATGATACATCTTGTTTATGGCTTCATGATCCATATTGAAGAACTTTTCATATTTTAGTCTTCTTTAATCTTTAATAAAATTCCCTGCCTTTGCTTGTTTTTGAATTGTCTGTATGTTACTGTTCTTTACCAGGTCAGTAAAATCAGCTTGGTGGATCTAGCAGGAAGTGAACGCGCTGATTCAACTGGTGCCAAAGGAACTCGATTAAAGGTATTTATTCTACCAAATAAACTGCCTAGTCAGTCAGTGTTCTGTAACATGGGCCAAATCCAGCCCAATGCTGTCCTCATGAATGAAATGTTATTGAGATATAGTTACCAATCATTAGTTTTATATGTTATCAGTGACTACAGTGGCAGAATTGTGAGAGATCGTATGATCCACAAAACCTAATTTTTTTACATAAAAATTTACAAAATAGGGAAGACAATGGTCAGCATGAGAGTTGAACTGCATTTTGAGAAAACAGGCAAAATTTGGCTAAGTGTTACTAGAAGACCTTAAAGGGAATACGATACACAAGATCCAGATGGGAGAAGATCGTGGAGTTTGGTGGACACACATTGAGCACCAGCAGGAGCTTCATGTGCGAAGAACGCTGCATCTGTAAGGTTTTAGAGAGCAACATCTCTGGGGCAGGTGTGTGGTCCCAGCAGGTCGACAAATAGAGGAAAGATTGAGGATGGAAGGCAGTTGTATAACTTGTGATCATAAGCAAATATGCTAGCATATGACAGGTCTCTGTGTATTTTATCCTCTATATGAATGAGAAATTACTTACCATAATACTTTCATGTTTGGTGTTTATTCAGGAAGGAGCAAATATTAACAAGTCTCTTACAACTTTGGGAAAAGTCATTTCAGCCTTGGCAGAAGTGGTAAGTTTTGTACTTCATTACAAGCAGAATTTGTCTACTTAGTAAATACGCTTGATAGTTTTATGTTTGCCCATGAAGGCTGTCCTGTTTGGGCCCTTTCTCCTTTGAGAGCTTTCTAGGTTAGAGATTAGTATAACAGTTTGACTTTGTACTGAGAGTAAAGTGAGAAGTAGATGTGTGTAATGCTGGGGTGAAGACCTAAGGTCTGACTAGTTTTTAGAGGCTTGTTTATGATCTCACAAAAAGTAAGCATGTTTAGTGTATGTCCTTCTCCTGTGCATTCGTTTCTAGGTGGGATGCACAGTATCTTTTGGAGATTTTTTGAGCAGTTTGGCTTTGGCGAATGTTGTTGATTTGCGGGCCAGAAATATGTTTCCAAATATAGTCATAAGTTTTAATGAGGGGTCCGTGTTGTGGGAAATGCATCCTTATGCATTTGTCACTTTGGGGACCCATAATGTACGCTCACACAGACACGGTGACAGTGTGGTATACTGCAGCCAGGGTCATGATGGAAAAAAATAAGGTTAAGCCAAGCACAAGAAAAACAATGCAATCCAAAATCGGGGTAAACACACAAGATGTTGAGGCCACTGCTGGTGTAACGTGGTGCACTTTCAAAGTTAAAAACAACAACAAAAAAAAAAAACAAGATAAAACAAAACCATTTTTTTGTAAGTAGAAAAAAATTCTTTAAGTGGGAAAGAATACGGCACAGTAAAGACTCACACCAGTGACAGGGTCCCTTATTCTGCGTGTCATTGTACAGCACCTGCTGTGCTGCTGACAGTGCTTGGGTTTCTCTGCAGCAGGTCAGTACAAACCTGTGAGCAGTGCCTGGTGCTGTGCCCACGGTCTGTTCTGACGTAAGGATTTTCCAGCACTATTTCAGTGTTACAGGATGACCAGTGTGTACGGCCAGCAAGTGGAAGAAAATGTCACTGTAGTTTCATTCTTTCCTATCACTTAACAGTAAACACCAAAGCTAAGTTTCTTCACTATTTGGTTTACAAGCCAAAGGAAGTGTTATTCGTCACTGTGTGCCCTTGTTGAGAGCAATACTTCATTTAAGTCACTAAAAAGAATGGAATATTTTGTGTCTGTCTCTGAAAAGTCATAATTATAACTTCCATTTAAATAAAATACTGTTTTTTATTTGGAAGCTTACGCTCTGTCCTTATTCTCTCCTCTAAACGCTTTCATCTGCAGGATAACTGCACCAGCAAGGTATGGTGGGGAGTGGCGGAGACAAACTAGCTATAGAATCAACTCGTGGTTGTAAGTCCACAGGGGATGGAGAGAGGCATAAGCAGGAATGGAACTTTCAGAAATTTTCATCATGGTCTTCTGGCCCTGGAATTTAGAATGGCTATTGAGTGTGATCATAAATCATAAGACTTCTCATCAGAATTAATTTAGGAACATGATGTGCTTGGAGAAGGAAATAAGAATAGAGAAGACAGAAAGTCAAAGTTTTATGTCATCTTACAATGTTTGTCTTGGTGATATATAGGACTGGACTGTTTCTTTACACTTGAAAGTTCACCATATTAAATTTCTTTAGCATATTATTCTAAAACCTGCCTGGCTTCTTGAAATTATATGGGTTGAGACAGAATCTTGCCATGCAGTTCGGACTGACCTTGAACTCACTTTGGATCCCAGACTGGTCTTGAATTTGCAGGGATCCTCCTGCCTCAGTCCCCTATGGTCTGTTCTGACGTGGTGAGATTACAGATATGTTCCACCATGTCCAGCCTGGTATATATATATATAGTTTTAAGCTTCTTTGCATTATTTTATTTATTTCCCATAATGATAGGTCATGAAAAATTTAGAACATTAACTTTTTTCCTATTCTTTGATTACACATAGATAAAGTGTCAGCTGTAGAATTAGGTTAAAGTTTTAACTGCTTCTGGAAATCTTACTTGTATTTATCCAAAAACTATAGATTTTTCTCTTCCATATTTCTGTACAAATATTCTAGGATTTATTAAAAGTACTCGCACAATAATATTTAGAGCACATGATTGTTGTGAATCACACGAGGGAAATTGGAGATAGAGGCAGGATTTGCAGTGAAATGTTCTATTTTTTTCTTCTTCTTTGTCCTCGTCTTTGTCTTTTGAGACAGGGTCTCACTGTGCAGCTCAGGCTGGCCTTGTGCTCACTTTATAGCCAAGGATAGTCTTGAACTTGAAACAACCCTCCTGCCTCAGCCTCCCAAGTGCTGGAATTACAGGCATGCGCCACCATGCCTGGCTAACACTTCTCTTTTCACATATTTAGATTTGTGTATTTCCCTCATCTCTGTAATGATAATTTAGTAAAATAGTTTGTCTGTTTTGGTCTTCTATGCTTATCAGCAGAAAGTATATTATATTCAGAAACCTACCTGCCACTTCATAATATATGCATATGACCGTTCTTCATTTATATAGTCTGGGCCTCAGAACTATGAAGTCTGTTAGAATTTAATGATCTTTCTAATTTATCTTGTGTCTGTGCTCTCCTATTAATGTATCAACCACAAGAAAAGTTTACAGAGTATTTTCTGTATAATTTGTACATGATTTTTACAATCAATTTTGTAAAATGTAGTTTTGTACTTTGCATATGTACCATAAATTTTTTTTTTTCCTCCCTTCCTTCCTTCCATCCGTCCACCCGAACTTTGTACTGGGGTCAAACTCAGTACCTTGCTCTTGCAGGCAGTGCTTATACTGAGCGATCTTCCCAGAGATTGCATATATACCGTAAGATCAGACATAAATTTTAGTTTTCATGTAACAAACATACCTTTTGGTCAACCTAAGATATTTTTTCCACTGGGGAGAGAACCAGGCTTATTGCCTTCCGCACTCAATATTGGTTGAATGTCCTTACCCCAAAAGCCTAAAATCTGAAGTATTTCCAGAATGTGAAACTTTCTGAGCTCTCTCTCACTCTTGCTCCCTTTTTTTGCGGTACTGGTGATTGAACTCAGGACCTTGCACTTGCCAGGCAAGTGCTTATTCTACTGAGCTATCTTCCCGTCCCCTTTTTGAGCTCTTGTGTGAAACTATAAGTGGAAAATTTCACATCTGACCTCATGTGATTTGCAGCAATCAAAACACAGGCATGCTGAAATTACTGTAAGAATTTACTTTTAGGCTATATGTGTAAAACATAGATGACACATACACTTGGGTCCCATCCCCAAAACATCTTTTTTTTTTTCTTCAAAACATCTTATGTGTTTGGAAATATTCCAAAATAAAAAAGAATCTGAAATATTTTTTATCCCAAGCATTTCCCATTAGAAATATTTAACCTGTAGTTCTTCTTAGAGAGGTTAATGATCTAAGTGAACTTTTTATCTAACTACTGGAGAGCTTATTTTCTAGATCTGAGTAAATGTGAGAATAGGTCGGATTAATTGTAGAAAGCAAATAGAAAAGAAATGGCCAGAATTCTAGAATATTTTCAGATGGAAAGGTCTGCATTTCTTACTTATGTTCCTTCATTTTAGCAAATTCTTCTTAATTTTGTCTAATTGACAGAAATAAAATTAGAATATTTGACAAAACACTGCTTTTTTATTGTACTATTTGTGGTTACGGTGACTGATACTCTTTTAAGTTTTATAGCACTTTCGGTACTAATAGTGGGTAAGTGGCTGTGTTAGCTGTGTTTAAGATAAACTAAAGTCTTAGTTTTAGCTTTAAAGGGATAAACTAAAGTCTTACGCCTCAAGATTTTGTAGTGGAGCGAAAGTTTGTTCTGAAAGGCTTCATTCTTCTTGGAGCCTGCTACTAGAAATGCCTTTCTCGCGGGTGCAGTGTGCATCTGTGGCTGGAGTGAATAAAATCTTGTGCATGGGTTTGTTTGCATTGCAACAGATCAAACCCTGGGCCTTGAACATGCTAGGTAAGCATTCTGCTGCTCAGCTGCGTCCTCAGCTCAGTGTTTGTGATAAGAAATGGAATTTCAGTGTCACTTGCCTGCTCCCTTTTCTGTGCCACAAATCTGAGGTTAGCCCCCAAGTACTCATTTTGTAAATACCTGTGCTTTTGCAAAAAGCAGATTATCCTTTGTTGAACCTTGGATTATGCCAGGAATGGATTCCAAAACTGCCCCTTGCAATGCCAATCAGAAACCCTGGTTTTTCTCCATAGTAGCTTCTTAAGGCATCAGAATACACTAGCCAGCCAGCATATATCTAAGTAGTGATTGTCTGCAAAACGTTTGCATCCATTCGTTTTTGCCTCAAGAGGATCTGATTTTTCCATTTCAACACTACCTTTTCAGTAGTGGTTTTTGTTTTGTGCAGTGGTGATTAGAAAGGTCATGAAGAGAACATTATAAATGGATCCTTAAAATGTATAGAAAATTCCCAGCAGTCTTTACAGATCCCTAAATTAGCAAAGCACATCATTTTCCTAGGACTTTTCACTTTTAGTCCTTGTACTAATAGTTGGATTTCTTTGTCATAGTTAATTAGATAAGCAACAGCCTACATGGTAATTTTATGGTTGGCTAAGTAAATTAACTAAACAGCTTATGCTTACATAGCCAGCCTAGCAACACAGGATTTATATTACCCCTCTGTAAAAATTAAATTTGTTTTGGGGCCAGATATTAGATGATAGTGAGGCATTGTTGTTAATTTTGTTACGTATGCTTTTTGTTACAGCTCTTTTTTAAAAAAATTATTTGGTATAGGGCTCAGTACACAGCTGGGACTCATAGTGACTCCTGTTTTCAGCCTCCCTAACACTGAGATTACAGGCGTGTGCCACCACATCCTGTCTTGGTGGCCGGCTCAGCATGCCCGGGGAAGGGGGATATGAGGTTCCAGGGATTAAATCTCGTTCCCTGTGATTGCCAGTCCCCTGCACTGTCTTGCTGGCCTTATAGTTGTTGTTTATTAGAGACACATACCTATAGAATTTATAGGTGAAGTGTTAGATTTGCTTTAAAACAGTAACACCTGCAAAAGACTTGAACAGCATATTAGGAAACAGTATTATATTGCCATTAAGTTTCCTAAATTTGGTGGTTGTGCTGTGAAAGAATGTGCTTACTTTCTGATGTGTTTAGGCAGGTTGTCTACACCTTACTCCAGAATGGCTTAGGAATCTATAAAAGTATTTGGAGGATAAATGAAAGGTGAACATGGCAAAATACTAATAATAGTTGAAGATGCATTGTATTATAATTAGCTCATTGTACTGTTCACTAGGCTTTTGTGTAATAAAAATTTCCAAATAAAATGTGGAAAGAATATTTGCATGAGTTTTGTGTGTGGAAGATTTCAAACTGCAAATGATAAATTTCAGCAATGGATTACAGAATGAATTACTATAGTACTAATGGTGGATTGCTATTATAATTTGGTATACTTGTGAATTGTAAGCTGGCTTGTATTTTATATGAGGTTTTTTTTTTTTTTACCTTAACAATGCTAAGGCTGTTCCTTTCTTTTAATAGAGTAAGAAGAAGAAGAAAACTGATTTCATTCCTTACAGAGATTCTGTACTTACATGGCTTCTTCGAGAAAACCTAGGTATGTTGATTACTGGTATGAGTTAATTTTGTAGTTATCTTTTTAAAGCCGTTTATTGAATATCTTTTGTGGTTAGTTGTTCTCTGACTGTTTTACAGAAAAAATAATTATCTGTAGATACTTATGTTACTAACTTGAGTGCTTCTTGCTCTTCATTTTTACTCCAGACTTCAGCTTGTTTGAGTTATCTAAATCTGGGTGTTCTCCTGTGTCTCAGTTAGGTCAGGGCACAAACTGCAGAGCGGTTGTCTTCCTAACTTCCAGATTTGCTTCAAACTATTGGTCCTTCTCAAAGTTCTTCAAAATCTCTTGTTCCTCCAAGGGCACAGAATTAGACAGCACCAGCTTTTACATTGCCTTATTGCTGGTGTTTTGCGGCCTTCCAGTCCCTATCCTTTATTTAGTGTCCTTTGGGCTGTGTGTGTGTGTGTGTGTGTGTGTGGTGCTGAGGATTGAACCCAGGGCCTCCTGCATGAAAGGCAAGAGCTCTGCTGCTGAGCCTCATGCCCTGTCCTAGTACACTTTCTTACCCAGAGGGAGTGATGGGCTGTGTCAGATGTCTCTTAGAGGGGAAAGAGGCTGAAACTAAACCAGTGGGCTGCACCCCAACCACTGCCATCCCACTGCCAAGAGCAGCGTTGTGAGTGACTGAGATTTGATGGGAGTGGGTTCAGGAAAGAGTGGGAGCATAGGAACCAGGCCCACGGGATGCAGATGCTAAAATTTGAGTGTAACGGTGCGTGACTGGGGATATTTAGGAAAGTTGCTGGCTTTTGATTAACTGTTAGCATCTGAAATTGTGCTATCAGGATGGTGATACATTCAATAAAACTTTCTCAAATGAGACATTTGAGATATTTTTGACTCTTCTTAGGTGGCAATTCTCGGACTGCCATGGTTGCTGCTCTGAGCCCAGCAGATATCAACTATGATGAAACCCTGAGCACTCTGAGGTATTCTCTCCCAGCCTGAGGTATTCTCTGGTAGCCCCTCAGGCCACATTGCCACCGTAGGGCCTTTACCTCTGCTGTGTGGCGGTCCTGTAGACGGGAAAACATGAGGGAAATGAGTTTTACTATAATGAAATTTATCTTTTTATGGTTTACAGTTTTACTGGGAATGGCAAGAAATTTTTCATAGGAAAGATGTTCAAATCACATGTGGGATTTTCAGATAATAACAAAATTTTTATTATCATTTCTATAAAAAAGTATTCTCTTAGCACAGACTTTTTTTTTTTTTTTTGTGGAACTGGTGATTGAACTCAGGCCCTTGTGCTTGCCAGGGAAGCACTTATTCTACTGAGCCATCTCCCCGGCCCCCAGACTTTGTTTTTATAGAAACACTAAAGTTAGAAGAAATAACACAATTAGGAGTACATGTAGCTTTTAAAAAATCAACAGAATGTTCACTAGTAGAATACTTTTATATGTGAATAGGTTCTGTTACTTTAATCTGGAGTTCTCTTTTCTTATCTCATGTAGGTTTTTTTTGTTTTTGTTTTTTAACCAGGAATTGAACTCAGGACCCTGTTCCTGATAGGCAGGAGCTTATGCCACTGAGCTATCTCCCCGACTCCTCCCATATAGTTTTGATACAGTAAAAGAACACCGTCTAGTCTGACAAACTGGATTTGAGACCTCTGTGGTTTTTATTTCAGTTGTGATCTTGGGCAAATCACTTGTTCATCTGAGCTTTTCCTCTCATCTTTATAAGACTATGAAGCTATATGTATATAATTTTTTCTTTTTTGAGACATGGTCTCACAGTATAGTTCAGGCTTGCCTTAAGCTCATTGCGTAGCCCAGGCTGGTCTTGAGCTTGTGGCAATCTTCCTGCCTCAGCCTTCTTTTTTTTTGCGGAACCAGGGATTGAACTCAGGTCCTTGCGCTTGCCAGGGAAGCGCTTATTCCACTGAGCCGTCTCCATGGCCCTGCCTCAGCCTTCTGAGGCTCATAAAAATGTGTAATTCTCAGGATGTTTGATTTAGAAATAATGTTATTTTTGTTGTTGTTGTTGTTGTTTGTTTTTTGTGGTACTGAGGATTGAACTCAGAACCTTAGGCTTGCCAGGCAGGTGCTTATGCCCTTGAGCTATCTCCCCAGCCCTAGACATAATGGTGTGTTACTTATGAGAAAAAGAATACCCAGGAAATGGACATAATTTTTTTAAAAAAATTTAGATATGCAGATCGTGCGAAACAGATTAAATGTAATGCTGTCATCAATGAGGACCCCAATGCCAAACTGGTTCGTGAGTTAAAGGAGGAAGTAACACGGCTGAAGGACCTTCTTCGTGCTCAGGGCCTGGGAGACATTATTGACAGTAAGTGAATTAAGATCAACACAAAAATCTAATCTTCCTCTTCATGTTCTTATAATTAAAATACACCTGAAATTTAAGAAATTTAGTGCGTGTGGTTCCATAGGCCTGTAATCCCAGCACACGGGAGACTGAGCCACGAGGATCTCCACAGATTCAAGGCCAGTACATAGCAGGACCTTGTCTGGGGGGAGGGAGTGGGGACTGTGAAACTAGATGGTGGTCAAAATGGTTTTATGTTTTTCTTAAAAACCCCAGTGAAACCCAGGCATGGTAGTGTGTGCCTATAATCCCATCTATGGGGGAGGCTGAAGCAGTATAGCTTGAACTCATGGATTTGGGGCTAGCCTGGGCAACACATCAAGGCCCACTTCAAAATGTAACTAGCAAGAAGCAGTGCAAATGATCATGAAGTTTCTCTAATGTGTACCAAGCCATCGTGAATTTTTTCTGAATGTTAACTGAGAAAGTATAACTTTATAAAAATGTAACTTGGACCTTTTGTTGCATGTATTGGCAAAATTGTGTAAGTAATCCACTCCTCAAGTCTATTTTCAGGTAAGAGTTGCCTTTAAATGGCCTATGTTCCTTATGTTTTTATGAAGGAAAAGGTCCAATTCCTCAAGTTCTAGAACTAGACCTCTAGCAAATATTACTTTACACTATTGTTCTACAGTGCATCTTTTACAAATCTCACTGATGTGCCAGTATAATGTCAATCCAAAATTCTCTAATCTAGTGCAGTGGTAAATCTAGTGCTTCTGTAATCTCAGCTGTTCAGCTGAGACAGAAGAAGCACAAGTTTGAGCCCACCAGCTCAGTGAGACTGTCTCATTGAAATGGGAGCACGGAGCTCAGTGGTGGGGTGCTTGTCCACCGTGCTGTAAGCTCTGGGTTCAGTCTTGGAATGCCTCCAAGAAATAAGTGAATAGTTGAGTAGATAAGTTATCTTAAGTGAATCAAGTAGATTATTCAGATAGTAATCAGGATTGTTGATTATTCAGTAATGGAATAATACATTAGAATTCTTTGACAGTTATTCAGGATTACACCAGAGCTATAGGCATCCTAGGCAAGCATTTCTCTGCTGAGCTATATCTTCAGCCACCCATCCCACACCTTTTTTTTGCTACAAGGTCTTACTAATTTTCAAAGACTGGCCTCAAATTTGTCAATCTTCTGCCTCAGCCTCTGGAGTAGCTGCATTATAAGCATGTACTACTGTACCTGGTTATAATTTTTTAGTATAAAATTAGTATTCTTTGACATTCTGATAGATTTTCAAGACCTCTTTTAGTTTCATTCTTGCTGATTATTAGAGTCTGAGTTTAGATTAATGCAGCTTGTAAAATTAATTACATATTGTATTGACTTAATTCGGTGCCAAATGCCAAATGCTGCTGTTTCCTTTCTGTGTCACTGCTGAACCTGAACTCTGACCCTTCTCGTGTTTTCCCTCCTGCTTACCTTCAGTTGATCCGTTGATCGATGATTACTCTGGAAGTGGAGGCAAATGTGTGTATTTCATGTATTGGTTACTCCAGTATGCTGACTTTCTAATCTGCCTCTGCTGGATCAGCCTTAAAATGAGCTTTGCATGGCAGCGACGCTAACAGGGAAATCCCAGACAGAGCATGCTGTAGAGTCAGCACTTCTCTTATTTTTGCCTTTGTCCATTTAGGCAAAGTGACCCTTGAAGAATTTCAGTTTGTTTGAGTAAAGTTGAAAGACTTAAAATTTTCTTACTTGTTTCACGCTTCAGTTTTTCCCCGTGTGATTAAATGAAGCCCAGAATCTTGGATGATGAGGACAGCAGTGATGGCAGCTCACACCATTGGTGTTCCTAATGCACTTGAGAGTTACTACCCTGCTTACTTGTGCCTCTGCCTGACGTATTTGGGGCAGGAGTGTTCTGCGGTGTCCCTTCACCTGTAGCTGAATGATGATTGTTTAATAGAAAAATCATTTTCACTGAACCTTGTAAACACAAGCCTTTGTATAATTAATAGCATGATTTCTAGTTGGCCAGACTGTGAGGGAGACGCTGCATGTCTGCCAGCCCTCACCTCTGCTTAGGCTGAAGTGTATAAAGTATATGATTGAATTGAGGACATTTTAATTTTTTTTTTAAATGTATTTAGTACAGGGTCTACTGAGTCTCACTGCACAGATTGGACTTGTAGTGGTCCTCCTGTTTTTAGCCTCTGAAGGGCTGGGGTTACAGCCACGCACCACCATGCCCAGTCTCAGTGGCCTTCTCAGCGTGCGCCAGGGTGGGGCCGGCAGGGCAGAGGCAGGGATCAAACCCCTGGTCCTGGTGTTTGCCTAAGTAGGCGCTTTAATCTGCTGAACTATCTGGCTGGCCCTTGAAATGAGAACATTTTATAAAAGATCACACTTGAGGAAATGATTGCTTATTCTTTATAATTCATAAAGGAATTACTTTTAAAGACTTTTTTTTCTTTTTCTTCTTTTTTTTTTTTTTTTGGTAAACGGTAATTGAACTCCTGAATTTGCATTTGCTTGTGCTGCTGAGCTATACTTTGGCCCAAAAGACATGAATAAGGTTCACACTGATTTTTTTTTTCATATAGTTAGGCACATCAGACAATGGGGAACTGCGTAGGAGATTCCAGGCATAGTCCAGATTTGATGAGTTAGGTCCTGCAGATCCTGGACTGTTCTAATAACATGTGACTCTTGGACTGGAACAGCTCTGTCTGAGATTTTCAAAGCTGAATGATACTGGTGTGGAAAAGATGCCTTCTTGTTCTCGCTTCTGTGCGCAAGTTGCTGCTGCCAGCCTGTTGCAGACCTCCGAGCAGCTGTGGCATTTCCTGAGAAACCATGCATGACTAAGTTTTAAGTCCCTATGTTTGAAGGAGGGCAGCCCTGAGTACTTCTTGGCTACTGCTTGGATCTACTCTTAATTCCTTTCAAGGCTTGCATGTGTTCGCCAGACCTTCTAACCTCCAGCGTCCCACCCTTTCCCACCTGGCCACCATCACTTGGTGGCTGACTGGTATAGTTCCAGTCCCCCTTTAACAATATGCCTCTGCTTACTTTCCTGTGTTCTGTACTTACAGATGGTGGTTTTCAAACTGTCTTGAAGCGACTGCAGGCTTTAAAGAACTGTCTTTAATTAAATAGTAAAGATGAGTAGACCTAGAGAGAACAAATTATATTTTTTGTGTTATTTGTATTGCTTCATGTTATGTCCTTAATTCTTACATGAATTTTAAGCAGTGTAGGTTTTCTCAAATTTAAAATGAGCTAACTTAAGTATAGAAATGCACCTCTGGTGTTTATTGAGAACTATCACTGAGGAAGGAAACTATAAAAAAGTTAATGAACTTGGTGGTCGTGGACTTTTTAAAAAACAAAACTGAGGGGTGTTTTGTGTATTTTTTGTCTTTTTATGAAGAGTTTCATTACACAATTCAGGCTGACTTTGAACTGGATTAACAGACAAAACTAAGTTTAAAATAAATTTACAAAAAAAAAAAAGTAAATTTACAGTTCTGTTAGATACTTTAGCAAATGAAACTCAGTCCCTAAAACTGGAATATCATATTAGGAAGCAGGCTTCCTAATAATCCCAGGGTTGTACTGTTGTTTTCTTAAATTAGCAAATAACCACTCTTTTTATTTATTTTTGTATTTTAGGGAAGGGTCTACAGGGTGTACAGGGTCTCACTACTAGATCAGACTTGTAGTGATCCACTGTTTACAGCCTCCCAAGAACTGGGATTACAGGCGTATGCCACCACACCCAGTCTCAATTGCCATCACAGCATGCCCCGGGGATGGGGCCTGCATGGCAGGCCCAGGATCGAACCCCTGGCCCCTGTGCCTGCTAGCAGGTGCTTTAATCTGCTGAGCTATTTGGCCAGCCCCCCCTTTTTTGCCATGATTGATTGATAAGTGGAAACTACACCAAAATATATCACTTTGCTAATTGTTATTGAGGTAGTTATTGAGTTTTGAGTTGAGCCACATTTAAGCAGAATTCTGCTCTCATTTCTACAATTACATCTCTTTTTAAGACATTTTAAAAATCTTTAGGCATGTTGAAATCGTGTTATACAGAGGATAATATTATGTGTTCCGAGTTCTGTTTTAACTATAATATTTCCTTGAAAATTTTCCATAAAATACCAGCCCAGGCCAGTATGGAATATTATTGACAAATGACCTTAGTTTTCACTTTACTGTTACAAACCCCCAGAATTTTAAAATAGTGTAAATCTGAAGGCATTGTAGATGTGGAATGGTAGACTAGAAGAAGGTCGCATGGATGTTCTGAGACAGTGCCTGGGAGGCTCTGGTCACACCCTACCAGATACAGAGCTAATTCACATTGGAAGTTTGGAGTTTCTAAATTCAGAATTTATTCTTAACCTTTATGACAGCAGCATTAAAAAGACGTGTTTTAGAACTGCCATCTAGAACAGTTAGAACTTGTCTTTGTATTGTAACGTGTCTTTGTCTTGGAGCTTTAATGCTTTCCTCTTACACTGGTGTTCCTTCCTGTCTTTTCCTTCCTCTGCCCCTTTCCCTCTTTTTTTCCTGCCTTCTTTTCTTTCTTTGCCTCTCAGATCTGAAAGATTTTCAGAACAATAAACATAGATACTTGCTTGCCTCTGAGAATCAACGCCCTGGCAATTTCTCCACAGCGTCCATGGGGTCCCTCACTTCATCTCCATCTTCATGCTCACTCAGTAGTCAGGTGGGCCTGACGTCCGTGAGCAGCATTCAAGAGCGGATCATGTCTACACCTGGAGGAGAGGAAGCCATTGAGCGTCTGAAGGTAAGCCCTCGCTCAGCCTGATGCAGAATGTCTGTGGAGCTCCCAGCACAAGTAGGACTACAAGTCGCTAAAATTTCGACCTCCGACATGGAGAATTCTTTAACTTGTAGAAGTGTTCTGAAAAGGAATTTTCTGTTCAGTAAATTCATTTCTTTTCACTAAAATGCTGGACCCAATTTGACAAAGATGGTCACAGAGTAACTGATAAATAGATGCATACGTTAATTTGGGGGTAGCTTGTAAGTCACAGTGAAGTTGTTCAAATATAGAAGGATTTTTTGGGGGAAAGGGGACCGCTCAGGTTGCCTTCAGGGCAGGTCTGGTTTGGCTTGAGGATGAGGGGATTGAACCACAGCATCCTGAGCCTGACTGCTTTGTTTCAGCAGGCACTTAAACACCTGAGCTAATGGGCAGGCCCCCAAGTTGTTCAAATATAAATTGAGTTTTAAATGAAATAGAAACACTTGGTTAAAAAAAAAAAAAAAAAGAAAGAAACATTTGGTTTTGTCAAAATTTTGAATAGCCATTGTTAGTAACAGTAACATATAGTTAAAATTACGCTTGAACATTTGAGAGACCATAGAAAGTTAATTTGGCTATACTTGAAATTATACATCCTGGAAGTTCAGGGGAAGCCTTGATACCCTCTGATTTTGGTAATGGAGGGCTTTCTTTTCCTCCTGTGCTGCTGGTGCATGTGGTCTCCAAGGCCACTATGCAGTCACCCTGGGGCCCAGCTGTGCCAGTGGTGGATTCCCCAGCGTGTCACAAGCTGCACCGCTGACAGTGAGCTAGGCTTGGTAGTGCCGTTGTCACATGCTTTCCCTTCTGGTTCTCAAGTGAGGCTGATGACAGTGGTATAGGAAGAGCAGGCTTCCACTTTTTCTTTCTTGACCATCCCACTTTTCCCCTAAGCATTTTACTCATTTCAAAAAGAAGGTGCTTCAGAAATGAAAATAATGATCTTGTTTCTTCCCTCAGAAAGTAAAAGGGCCGGCTAGATAGCTCAGTGGACTAAAGCACCTGTTTGTGCAGACGCAGAGACCTAGGTTTGATCCCCGACGTGCCCTGCCAGCCCTGCCCCTGGGGCACACTGAGAGGCTACTGACACTGGGAGTGGTGGCGCGAGGATCACTATGAGTCCGATCTGTGTAATGAGACCCTGTAGACCCTGTACTAAATACGAAAAAAAAAAAAAAAAGGAAAATGAGTAAAGTTCTGAAATACCTAGGAAATGGGGGGCAGGGGATCTGTCCACTCAGGATTGCAAGCTCAGGGAAAGTTCTGCTGCTGGTAAAATTTGACTGAGATCTTTCCAAAGATCTTGAGCCCTGGGCAGGAAGGCCTCTTCATTCAGGAACTTTGTCACAAGTAGGTGTCAGTGTCCATGTGTCTGCAGGGCTCTGTTCAGAGCCAGGGCTGGAGCTAGGGGGCTTTGCGGAAGGAGAAGTGAAACCTCCTGCTATTTAACATAAAATGTTCCTTTTCTTTGCGGATTTTGAATCTTATTTTTTGCTTATTAAAAGACTTAGTGCACAGATGAGATTATCCTTTCCTTTGACAGTCATCCTGGTATAAAGAGGAAGTGTCTCCCTAAGTGCCAAGTGGACCAAACTAGAAATAATGTCAGATATTAGGAGTCAAGACATTAAGCTTGTTAAGAATTAGTGTCTTCCAAATAGCTTCTAAGGGAGAATGGTGTGGTTTTCCAGGGAACTCTTCTCCCATCTCCTTACTCCCGCTAAAACAAAACAAATCGTATTATTTTAATCAACAAATAAATCCCTCTGCTTTAATTCTCCTTTAAGCCAACATAAATGAACTCCTGCATTTTCCCTAGCTTTGTTCTCGAGAGAAAATGACTTCTTTGCAGTCTGGTGTTGGGGGCAACACAGCGGTTCACTGGAGCGTAAGCGCCTTCATCCTGCTCGCTCCTTGTGAATGGTGAGAACGCCCTGGGCAGGGTTGCCGTCGGGCTGCAGGCGATCACGTCTGTGTCCACACACAGCAGGCGTGCCTGAGACTCTCTAGGAACTGTGTCCCGAAGTGTGACACTGCTGAGGAGAGATGCTTTCGTGGAAAATAGAAACAGTGAATTCATTTTCCTGAATTTGTTTCCCTTTGCCTGTCTTTGTTTTTGATGTAAGATCAGTTGTTAAGGGTATGATAATTTTACTTTATTTTATTTTATTTTTTGTATTTGGTACAAGGTCTCACTATGCAGCTTGGGCTCATAGTGATCCTTCTGTTGCAGCCTCCCCAGCCCTGGGATTCCAAGCATGCACCACCATGCCCGGTCTTCGTGGCCTGGTCTTGGTGGCCTGGTCTTGGTGGCCAGCTCGGCACACCTGGGGCAGGACCTGCATGACACGAGGTACTGGGGATCAAAGCTGGGTCCTTGCGCTTGCCTAGCAGGCACTGAGACCACTGAGTGGCCTAGTATGCTAATTTTATTTGTGGTGCTCCTCCCGCTTCGTTCATTGAATATCCTTTATTTCCACCTGTAACATAAATATCTTGATTCCTCTATAATACTTTTTGGAAAGAGAGTGCTATGTAAGTGCTTCTCATTTTAAGGCATACTCAGAGTTTGCACATGGTAAGTCTATATTCTACCATTGAGCTATGTCTAGGCTCTTTTAAAATTTTACCTTGGGGCCGGGGAGATGGCTCAGTGGAATAAGTGCTTACCTGGCAAACACAAGGGCCTGAGTTCAATCCCCGGTTCCCAAAAAAAAAAAGAAGAAGGGAGCCAACCTGAAAGGCCCTCTTTGTTACCCCAGTGAAGTAGAATGAGTCAGTTCTATGCCAAGTGCTTTGGTCAGACAATAATGGACTATAACTATTGAATGTGTAAATCACAGTGTATAGTAAGTTCATCGAGGAATCATGTTTTAGTTCATATGTCTATATATGTAATAAACATTCAGTAGATGACTGGTAAGTTGTCATATCTATGGTTACATGAGGTTTAATACTAAAACCATCCATCCTAGTTACTGGGTTCTATTCAGAGAGGGGATTGTGGAGTAGTGAAACCTATGCGATAAAAGCAATGATTTTCTTCTAAAGTTTATTCTTTTTTTTTAAAAAAAAAAAAAAAAAAAAAAACCTATTTAGGGCCGGGGAGATGGCTCAGTGGAATAAGCGCTTCCCTGGCAAGCACAAGGACCTGAGTTCAATCCCCGGTTCCACACACACACACACACACACACACACACACACACACAAAACCTATTTAGTACAGGGTCTGTAGGGTCTCACTACACAGATCAGACGCATAGTTATCCTCCTGCTTTCAGCTTCCCACATGCAGGGATCACACATGTGCACCACCACACCCATCTCAGTGCACCCCAGGATCAGGGCCAGCACAGCACACCAGGGATCAAACTTGGGCAGCTGGGGAGATAGCTCAGGAGCACAAGCACCCGCCTGGCAAGTACAAGGTCCTGAGTTCATTTCCTGGTACCACACACAAAAAAAGCTCAAACTTGGGTCCCTTCCCTTTGTCTGCCTAAGCAGGTACATTAATCCACTGAGCCATCTGGCCATCCTTGAAGTTTATTCTTCTATAGAAGTGGTTGTCAGGGACTTGGGAGATGGCTCAGTGTCATAAGCATGTGTGTGACAAGCACAAGGTCCTGAGTTCGATCCCTGGTAGGAAAAAAAAAAAAAAAGTGGTTGTCAGAAAAAGCATTTTGCATTTGGGGATGTTAATATTACCTTTCCTCCATTTAGCACACATGCACACACACAGAGATACTGGCTATTCAGGTATTTTTATGAAGACTTAGAGGATTTATATGCCTAGGACTGACTTAGTTTTAGGCCCAATCTTTGTGTTTCTTACAGTATATATTATTTGAAGATCTTTAATGATTTATGCCCCAGATCCTCTGCTTCTTGCCTTCCTTCTTGGATATGGTATGTAAAAATCAAAGATTCTGCCACTTTAAAGGTGAACTCCTTCCTTAGGAATCAGAGAAGATCATTGCTGAATTGAATGAAACCTGGGAAGAGAAGCTTCGAAAAACAGAAGCCATCAGAATGGAGAGGTTAGAATATTAAAGTGTGGGACTGTTTCTAAGTTTCTAGGGAATCTGGGTTACTTTTATGGTCAGACAAGATGAAATAAAAGTTAAAAGCAAAGGACCTCCCTGCTAAAGCACAAAATAGAAACCAGTCTGGCTAGGGACTTGTGGTGTGGAATTCGTACTGTGAGGTAAACTACATATTTAAAGATTCTTTAGGGTTCCTATGCTTAGTAGTTAGCATACTACTTTTTTTTTTTTTTTTGTATTTAGGACAGGGTCTACAGGGTCTCACTATGTAGATCAGACTTCTAGTGATTCTCCTGTTTACAGCCTCCCAAGTGCTGGGATTACAGGCACACGCCAGCAGGCCCACTCTTAGTTGCCACCTCAGTGTGCCCCAGGGGCAGGGCCAGTGTGGCAGGCCCTGGGATCGAACCCCCGTCCCGTGTCTGCCTAAGCAGGCGCTTTAATCTGCTGAGCTATTTGGCCGGCCCTTACTTGTTGAGAATCAATAAAAATGGAACATACTGAGTGAAACAGTTTTTTATTTGCTAAAACTAGGTTGGTTGCCTTTGGCAAAGCACCCTTCTGACTACTGTCTTTCAGAGTTACCTTTTCAAGAACTTCTTTGGTAAAAGATATAGTTTAGGTTGTAATTTATACTTAAGAAACCAGTTCCTATCTTTTCCCTTAATAGAAGTTGAGGCAGAAGTGAATTCTAATGTACTGATACAATAAATACAACAAGAATGGTTTTTACTGGGTGGTATGGTGCATACCTGGTATTCCAGCTACCCACGAGGCTGAGACAGGGGAATGATACATGTGAGACCAGGTGGGCACCTTAGTGAGATCTTGGGACTTTAGTTCGGCACTATTTGGGTTTAGTTCCTCAGCATTACTCCCTTCCTGCCCACACTTCCCCCAGAATTCTTGTTTATTTTAGAGATTTTAAACCAGGATTTTAGAACAAGGAGAGTGGATAAGGGAAGATAACATTTGAGGAATGTCACATTTATAGATCATACTCCATTTACTCAAGTTACTTTCTGATTGATTTATTAGGGAAAGGTTCTAGAGAAATAATTCTTCCAAATAGATATAAATAGGTGTCCCCTTCTTTGCTTTTTCTGTGTTAATAGATGTGTTGTTTATGAATTAGTGTCCATCTGCATGGCAGAAGAGACAGGAGCGTGTGGTGGGGAGGGCTATGCTGGGGCCAGTCTTCCAGCCTTGATTATGCAGGCTCTCCACTGAGCCCTGTTCCCAGCCTGAGAGAGCTCTTGTCAGGGTAAAGAAAACTTTAACACAGGAACATACTTTAATTTATTTTAAATGTGCTGTGTCTCTTAAAAAAATAACTTTTCATTGATGAAATAAGCACAGTATCCCACATTTCCATTATCAACTTTAGACATGGCTGGTTGTTTTAGCTTTGCATGCTTTACTTCCCACTTCGTATGAGACTAATTGAATTAGCATTCTGGGGTTGATGTTCTCATGTACTTGTTTTCTTCTAGAGAGGCCTTGTTGGCTGAGATGGGCGTAGCCATTCGGGAAGATGGAGGAACACTGGGGGTTTTCTCACCTAAAAAGGTAGGAAGCCAGGTTGTAAGACTCAGCCAAACAGAAGCACTTTTGGGGTTAGGAGTGCTCTAGGTAGCAGAGCATCTGCCTGCCACCCATGAGGCCCTGAGCTCAAATCCCAAAACAGAAACACTTGTTTTGGTCAGTGGGACCCTTCATGTCTTTCAGTGATGAGATCTTTGCCTCCAAAGTTTCTCTTGCTTCAGTTTTGCTCATTTTGCTTTAGCTTTCTGTACTCCTTTGGAGAGAAATGTAACATGGACCATGTCCAGACTCAGTGTTGGAACCTGTTCTTGAGATTCTCTGTTACATAGGTCAGGACCCTGCTTGGGCTTTAAGGCTGCTGCCCAAAGAGGGTTTGACTTTCTCAGGCCAGCCTTAGGCTACAGGGGCAGATGCTAGTGGAGTTGGAGGTTTTTCTAATTTCTGTTTAACTGTCTTTGGCTGTTCCATTTCTTTATCCCCTCATCTGACTGCTTTTGTTTTTCCACATTTGCTGGCACTATCTTGAGTAGATTTTGGCCCCAAGACCATGTGACTTAGTTTTGGATTCCAGTAGGGTCCTCACCAAAGAAGGTTGGTTTTAAAAAAAAGAGTTTAGAAATGTTAGAATTAAATGAAGAAGATTTTTATTTTATTTTTATTGCTATCAGTGGTTTTAATATTTAAAATTTTCCTTAAAGACTAATAAACTAAAGTCAATGCCTGAGCCCATGGAAAGCTGTTGAAAATTATAAAGGGCAATGGCAGGGGTATGGGGACACTTTAATAAAAGTAAATGAAAAATTAAATCTTCTTTTGAGGTTTTTGCCCAGGCATTTACATACATTGTAATCAACCATCCTGAGAACCAGTATGTTTTAATATTTCCTGTGTGTAGCTAAGCTTGGATGTTATCAAGAGTGGGTCCTATTCTGCATCCCAGAACATGTGTATTTAAATAGACTGCATTGATGTAGTTTGGGAAGCCCTGAAGAGAGTGTTTGCTCTTCACTGTGGAGTTGTAACTACTCACAAAACGCGCTCTTCAGAGCCTGCAGGAATGTGAGAAGCCTGGGAAGCAAGCCGGGCCCTGCAGCCCTGCGGCTGCTGCTGTGCTCTGGTGTTCCTCGCTCCACATCGGTCGTTTCTAATCTCTTTCAGACTCCACATCTTGTTAACCTCAATGAAGACCCACTGATGTCTGAATGCCTACTGTATTACATCAAAGATGGAATTACACGGTATATTTGTTTCTGGTTTTGAGAACTTAATATTCTTCTTTCTCCTAGATAATTAAATAGCAAAAGGGAAATTGTTGACATTTTTTGATAATATTCTGCTGTTTATCTTGCCTGAAATAATCACAAACTATCTTCTCTGCTCTTTCCAAGTTATGTGTGTAAGTAGAACTACTTAAGAGCAGACCCAAATAAAATTTTTCTTCCTGGGCTGGGGAGATGGCTCAGTAGAATAAATGCTTCCCTGGCAAGCACAAGGACCTGAGTTCAATCCCCGGTTACACAAAAAAAAATATCTTCCTTTTAACAATGTGCATGAGTTCATGGGAGCGGTTGGCCACGTATGAGAACAGAATTTGCCATCAAAAGCTTTGAATCCAAAGAGGCGCTACCTTTATCGTACATAGCAAAGGATACTATCTGGGAGAAAGTGGTTCATTGTGTGTGAGTGCTCTTTGTGTCAGAATTTTCCTGGGAAACACTTGCTCTTGTGTCCAGGGTTGGCCAAGCAGATGCCGAGCGGCGCCAGGACATCGTGCTGAGTGGGGCCCACATTAAGGAGGAGCACTGCATCTTCAGGAGCGAGAGAAACAACAGTGGGGAAGGTGAAGTTCCTTGCTGGAGCTTTTCCAGCCACTTTTGCTTCCTGTAGCATGAGAAATTCTCAAGACTTGGGATTCCCAGTTTCTGTTTGTGCTGCTTTCTTGCACAGTCTGTTATTGAAAATGGAGAAACCTGGGCTGCTTATAAATACAGGGACAGACATAGCTGCTTTACATGAAAATAACATGGACAAAAGGAGACCTTTTGTCACTGCCAGGAACTGAGCAGGACAAGGGCAGTTAGGATTGGTCCAGAATGTCAATCACGGAATGGAAAAAAAGAGAGGAGTAAATACCATGGGGAATGGGCAATTTGAAGAACCTCAAGTCTTAGTGCAGTAGAATTTATCTAAAAAGAAAGAAGAAAGTCAGCCTTGATTTTTGCCCAGGTTATTAGCAAAACAGCAAAAATATAATAGTATTTTGGGACCTGACTTACAGTTCTTCCTTAACCAATCTTCAGTTTTCTTTAGCATATGATTCTTTTGTAACCAAAAGACTGTACTAGCTTTTACTCTTGAGCATCTGTTTATTTCTTATGTCCTATACTTAACATTTCTGCTGTGTTCAGTGTTACCGGCTAAACTGTCAGGTATATTTTATATATTCTTCTGAGATTTGTCACATTTAAATGTTTCATCTGGGCCTCAGCCCCTAATAGCCTTATACTGGCACTCGTTCTAGTATCCTAAAAAGGAACTCTCTTCCTTACCAGACGTAGGTGCTTCAGCCACTTGTGTGGTTGTAGGAATCTGTTGTGGTTCCCTCAAGTCTTACTAGGAAAATGCTTCCCTTTATGTGATCGTGGTGGGCTGTGGTGGTGACAGGCGTTTGTGTTCCCCCAGCTATCGTGACTCTGGAGCCCTGTGAGCGCTCAGAAACCTACGTGAATGGCAAGAGGGTAGCCCAGCCTGTTCAGCTCCGCTCAGGTGCGCCTGGGGATGTTGAGGTTTGCGGCAGTGTATGTGTGGCTTGTGTTAAATTTTGACTCTTTGTTTTAAGAGCTGAACTGATAGTTGACATTATGATATATGTTCTTTTTAAAAAAAATTATTTACGTATTTGGTACAGCATCTTGGCACACAGGTCAGACTTGCAGTAATCCTTCTGTCAGCCTTGCCAGTGCTGGGATTACAGGACTGTGCCACCAAGCCTGGTTTTGGTGGCCAGCACGGCTTGCTGGGGATTCTGAGGCTGGCATGGAATGTGGTACTGGGGATCAAACTCAGGACCTTGCACTTACCAGGCAGGCACTTAAGCAGCTGAGCTCTCTCCCCAGCCCTAGGGTATATGTTCTTATAATACTTGAAAAGCTGTCTTTTTTGTATTGGAATGAAATTATTAAAATTGATAATACAGATTTAAGCAGTGATTCTATAGGGCTGGGTGGGGTAGCATATGCCTGTAATCCCAGCTACTCAGGAGGCTGAGGCACAAGGATTATGAGTTTGTAGCCAGTCTGGGCTATCTCAAAAACCCAAAAGAATGAAATAATGGGTGAAAGAGTATTTAAAAATTGATGGGGAGAGGGCCTGCCCCTTAGCTCAGTTCTTTAAGAGCCTGCTTAAACAGTCAGTCAGCTCAGGTTGCTGTGGTTTGATCCCCAGACCTCAAGCCAGCCAAACCAGCCCTGAAGGCATTCTGATTGAGCCAAAATATAAAAAAAATTTAAAACTTAAAAAAAAAAATGATGGGGAGATAGCTCAGTAGAATAAGCGCTTGCCTGGCAAGTGCCCTAAGTTCAATCCCTGGTTCCGCCTAAATAAATAAATAAATAAATGAGTCAGTGATTCCTTGATTCTGTTTTATGCTAGGAAATCGTATCATCATGGGTAAAAACCATGTTTTTCGTTTTAACCACCCGGAGCAAGCGCGGGCTGAGCGGGAGAAGACTCCTTCTGCTGAGACCCCCTCTGAGCCTGTGGACTGGACATTTGCCCAGAGAGAGCTCCTAGAGAAACAAGGCATCGATATGAAACAGGAGATGGAGAAAAGGTAGTGGGGGACGTAGTCACTCCCCAGGTGACTGGCTTAAACAGCATTTATGACACTGTGGCAGTTTCACAGTTCTGTTTTGTTTTGTTTCTGTTTTTCCTTCCAGACTACAGGAGATGGAGATCCTTTACAAAAAGGAAAAGGAGGAAGCAGATCTTCTGTTGGAGCAGCAGAGACTGGTAGGAGCCTCTCCTGAGTCTGCTAACACTAGGGAGGGCAGCTGCTCCCGCCCGGCCCGGTTCTCAGTTGAGTTTATCAGGCTCACTGGTGCCATGTGCCACTCTTTCCTTTCCTTAGTGGAGGACTGAATCTCCTGGTAGCTGTAGTCTGAAAAACTATATAGAGCCTCTTAGATCTGAAAGTTAAATCTTTATTTTTATCATGAGTGAGTGATTTTTTGAGGAAGTAGTTTTTCTGGTGCCTTTGCCTCTTGGTGTAGTGGTTTTTGAATCTGCATCAGTGGTGGTCCTTTTTAATGATAATTACTTTGATTGTTGAATTCGATGGAGTTTGCCTTGGTTTTGTTTCTGATCACCTGATAGTACTAATTCTCTGCTCTTGGGCTGACTTGGGGATTGTTCTTGTGCTGGCAGATTTTTTTTTTTTTTTTTAGTTAAATTGTGTCTAAAATGTTGCTGCACAGTTGCATGTGTTAATCCTTTTCTGTCCCCCTGCATGGAGTCTGAATTCTCAATAAAGTTCTCAGTAGCATGTGTGGTAACAGTGGGAGCAGGGGCCACACACCCACCTCAGACAGGATGGAGGAATTGCCGTCCTCCACATTGAAAAAGGATTTGGGGTGCAAAGTCAGTTGAGGGTCCCAGCTATAATGCTAATGGCTTTAGCATTTTATGCTAATTGACTTTCCAGGGTTGATAGAAATGGAATCTCATGAATAAGTACATTGATCTGTTAGTTCGATTTTCACTTTTAAAAGCAACCAGTTTTGATTAACAGTGCCTTGGTGTAAGAAGCTCTTGGGCATTCATTTGATACACCATGGAAATAGTTCAGGAAGTTCTTCATATTTGAAGCTTCACAGGCTCCTTTGAAGCTAAAGGGGCATTAGAGAGAAAGCTCCCCCCGAGCTGGGGATTGAACTCAGGCCCATGCGCTTGCCAAGGAAGCACTTATTCCACTGAGCCATCTCCCCATCCCCGGAAGCTTTTTTCTTGAACATAAATTATGGCATGTAAATTAAACAACCCTGCTTGCTTTGGAGAAGAAACTCTTAGGACATAATGGGCCAAAAAAGCCAAGAACTAGAGCAAGAGTAGCCTTTTCCAGGGCAGCTCGGCTCTCAGGCGGGCAGTGGGTTAAACCAGTTTGTTTGGTATCTTGGAAATTATAGTAAAGCCTCCAAAGGTATGGAATGTAAAGATGAAGAGTTTGGGACAGATAATGTCAGTGTTGCAGGTAGAGCCTCTTTGTGGGACCCACTTGGCATTAGCTTTAATGAAATAGATTTATCTACTATATGATTAGGGCTTAAAAGGTTTGTGACACATGAAGGAGCCTTTTGTGTTACAGCTGTAGTATAATCTAACAACATGCCTCTGATAGTTTGTGAGATCAAATGAGGACATATGGTATAATTAAGCTCTATGATTAACAGTAGTGTCTTATATTTATATAGTGCTTAATAATTTACGAAGAGCTTAACACCCTTCATTTTACTTGACCCTTAAAACAGTCCTCCTTGGTAGGTGTGTACGTAAGATTCTATGTTATTATCCCTAGTTTATAGTCAAGGAAACTAAAGGCTAAAATAATGCTGTCTTGCCCACTCTTAAACACCTGCTAAATCAGATCTGAGGCTTCATCTTGGGTCTTCTGACTTGCTTTCATGTTCTGTTCCTTCAAGCAGTGCTTCTCAGCCACCTTGGAATCTTGTGGAAAGTCGATGTTGAGTGAGGAGGTGTGGGGTGGGACCCGCAGTTGTGTGTTCCTAACAGCTCTCTGGTGAGGCCAGTGCTACTGGTCCATGACTTGGAGTAAGTAGGCGTGAAAGAATAACGATGCCTGGGACTGTCCATGACCCAGAATTAGTGAACATTAAATAAAGAGAAAGCAACTGTCTCTAAGACGTGCTTACTTTGTGGGGAACATTCAGTCTCCAGATGATCAGGTTCTGGTTGTCATTTGCTCTGTGCATCTGAAAGCGGAGTAGGGTTTCAGGAACATTTCTGCATAGCATTAAGGTTTCTTTCCTCCCTCAAAGTCTAGCTGTCTATTTCACCTAAATCTGTTGATCCCAAGAGAAACTGGAAAACACTTTTGCTTAAAACATACCTATCAGTAATAGTACTGAGCAAAAGTAGTTTTATGACTCAATATTCAACCAGTACATATCCTGTGAGTAAAGACTGACAGGATACAAAGGAATTATGTTCCTTCCCTGGCACCCCATGCAGTACCAGCTCTGCCCTCGGGCAGGCTGAGCTGGCCACCGAGACCCGGCATGGTGGTACATGCCTGTAATCCCAGCACTGGGGAGGCTGAAAACAGAAAAAGGAGGATTGGACTCGTGATGATCCTCTGTACCAAATACATTAAAAAAAAAAAAAAGCCAAAACCCAAAAAAACCCAGAAGAATTATTCAGTAAATATTTAGTATTTATCATATAATTATTTTTTGTATAATGGCAACATTAAAAATGGACTTTGGGCTTATAGGCTTCTGTGGTAGTTCCCCAAATGCATCCTCACCATTTTGTGCTTGAATTTTCACACATTTGGGTTTCTCCTTCCATTTTTATAGTCATATAGAGTCTCTTTAGGAGACTTACTTTGCACTTGGTATACCGAAGGATTATTTAATAATTTGTAAAACAGTCAAACCCAAATGGGTGTTTGAACCTGATAATCAGTGAATCTAAATACGTTAAAATCTTTTGGGTTTTTTAGACATGAGATAGGACTTTATATTTTGTACATAAACTTCGCATAAAGTTTTTCGTATCGTGGCCACAATGTGATACTCCACAGAGCCAGTCTGACAGTGTTTTAAAAACAAAACTATGGCTGTCTGATTCAACTTGAATTCTTCTGGAATTATGTGGACTCATATTTTTATTTTAGAGTTTAAAGATGTAATTTTTATCTCTTACACCTGATATTAAAGCAGTGATTAGAATAGTTGTCATTTCCTAAATTAGACAATATTCATTTCATCCTTAAGCAATCATAAAAGAAAAATCATCAGGGAAAAAATGATAGCTGTCAGTTATATGGGAAGAATCAAAGAGAGTGTACATTCTATAAAACTCAGTTAATACATGTTTGCTGAAACAAGCCTGCTCACCTACTCTTTTTCTAACCTCTGTTAACATCATGTCCACCTACATTAGCCATTCTACAGGTCTCCTTTTGCAGTGCTGGGAATGGAACCCAGGGCCTTGTGCCTGCTTGGCAAGCCCTCTGTCACTGAGTCACACCTCAGCCCTGTTCTGCTTCCTGAAACTAAAAGTGAAAAAAAAAATCTAGAATCTATAAATATAGCTACCTATCTGCTTTTGTTATCAAATAGGTGAGGATTATTCAGTGGGTTTAGTATTTATTTATTTATTTATTTATAGGCCAATAGAAATAATACAAATCAGTAGTAGTATCTTCACATTCAGGGGGCCTGCTCCTTAGCTCAGTTGCTTAAGTGCCTGCTTAAACAAAGCAGTCAGGCTTAGGATGCTGTGGTTCAATCCCCAGATCCCCAAAGTAAACCAGACCTGCCCTGAAGGCATCCTGAGCCCACCACAAAAAAACAAAAAACAGTCCTTCACATTCAGAAGCCAAATTATTGTCATCTTATTAAAGTTTTTCTGTCCCTAGATTTTTGCTCTAGAAAACAAGATTCTATTTTTCAGTTGCAACCCTCCCCGCCTTTTTTAAAAAAATCTTTGCTAGACCTATTTTTGGCTGCCACAACCAAGAAGACTATTAATCATATTTACTAGATTATTTTAAATTATCTAGCATTTTCTTTCTCTTTTTCTTTCTTTTTTTTCTTTTTTGTTTAGGGAAGGGTCTACAGGGTGTTCTCACTACTAGATCGGACTCAGAGTGATCTGCCTGTTTACAGCCTCCCAAGAGCTGGAATTACAGGCACATCCCACCATGCCCAGTCTCCATTGCCATCTCAGCATGCCCCGGGGGTGGGACTGGCAGGGCAGGCCCAGGGATCGAAACCCCTGCCCCTATGCCTGCTTGCAGATGTAGCATTTTCTTTTCTACAACTTTTATTTCCTGAATGGAAGTCTTCCTAATGCTGATACATATATTAATTTTGAGTCAAGCTACCTTTGAACTCACTGTTTTGGCCTTAATTCACTGTGATCCTCCTGCCTCAGCCTCCTGAGTGCTGGGATTATAGCCATGTACCACATGCCCAGCCTTGTTGTATATAATTCTAAGTCCAACATTGCTTTCATATAGATTGAAATTATGAAGATTTGAGTGTGTTAAGAGCAGTTGGTTATTAACTAACTAGCCCCTAAAACTATGTTGTTGTGGAATTCAGACTGCTGTTTTAGTCCTAAGTAAAGTTTTTTGGAAAAGAGGTAATGGTACACAGCTGGAGAAACAACAGAGAAACATTTTTAAGTGGATCCATTTTACAGGTGCACAATGTAATCTTTGTCTTAATTGGAAGAGTTGTTCCTTTTAAGTATGCCCCTCAAATGACCAGAAATGCCTTGGGTTTTCTATACAGAAAACATCTCTTAAATTATATTTATTAAAATATGCTGTTACCTGGGGAAATTTATGTTTAAATGGAAGTGTATTTGCCTACCTTAATTTTTTTCTGGTAATTTATTTCTCAAAAATTTGGAGGTGAGATATTATTGGGTTAAGTGTGTAAAAAACAAAAACAAAATAGATCCACTACAAGGATTCTTTTTTTATCCTTCCTTATTTTCTAGGTAGCAAACTGTAATATACAATTGAAGTAGATTAATTTAACATGACAGAAGAAAATAGCAAATCCTGTATGTTCTCATAGAAAGTTTAGTTTCAAGGTCCTTTCTTTGCTTGCCAGAAAAAAGAATTTGGTAATAAGCACCTTGTGTGATCTGCTAATAGGGATTCTTCACACTTTTAACACCATCCCTGTTTGCTTCTTTTTCTGCTTTCTCATGTAACTTTTTCCTAGGGCTGCTCTTTTCGGTAAAGCTAAACAAAC